AAACTACTGCTGATAAAGAATTTGATGTTTTCAATATGAATAGAGTTAAAAGAAAGATCTCTGTAAGTTCAAGACCAGCCTGGTCAACATAATGAGTTCTGAGTCACCAAGGATTGCATTGTGAGACCTGCCTCAGATGGTTCGGGTGGGGGTGGGGGGAGAAAAATCAAACTTTCTAAAAACATTTCATTTGCTGTGTGTACTTACTTTTTCCTTCTTGACAACATTCTATTCTAAGTTAAGAGGAGATAAATTTTGCACTTGCTGGTCTTATATTTTATAATTATTCCCATCCAAATTCAAATAGAATGCAAATGAAGTCAGCACATTGCTGGGACTTTAGACTTTCCATGATTTAAAGTTTATATTGGGTGTCTGTTTTGGGAGATTGTTCTACTGTTCTTGCTAAGGTTTATTTTCCATGGCCTTAACTTAAAAGACATTTAAGGAGAAAATGGTATGTCCCCCATCCAAGTACTAACCAGGTCTGGCCCTGCTTAGCTTCCTAGACAAAGATAGGGTGATACAGCCACCGATTAAGGTGGTGTTCTCTAAGGATTCTCCCCCATAGCTGCTTCTCAGAACACAAGAGACCAGCTCTTCAGTGGCACCCACTGGCCTTCTACTGATTGCACCTCTGTTTATACCTAGTTCTTCATCACCAGATCTAAGCTCTAGCAGTAAACTGACGGCTAGCAGGAAAAGCACTGGTCAGCTGAATGTCAATCCCGGGACTCCTGGCGGCAACACAACTGCAGAGCGGAGCCGGCACCAAAGAAGCTTCTCAGTGCCCAAGAAATTTGGTGTTGTTGATCGATCCTCAGACCCGCCTCGAAGCGCCACCCTGGACAGAATTCAAGCTTGTACCCAACAAGGCCTTTCCTCAAAAACCAGAAGCAATTCCTCCTTGAAGGAGAGCCTCACAGACCCGTCCCATGTAAACCATCCCACCAACCTGCTGGCCACCATCTTCTGGGTCACGGTGGCCCTGATGGAGTCTGATTTTGAGTTTGAATACCTGATGGCCTTAAGACTCTTGAACCGACTGTTGGCACATATGCCGCTGGAGAAAGCTGAGAACCGAGAAAAGCTTGAGAAACTCCAGGGGCAGCTCAAGTGGGCGGACTTCCCGGGGCTGCAGCAGCTGCTCCTGAAGGGATTCACCTCTCTCACCACCACAGACCTGACCCTGCAGCTTTTCAGCTTGCTGACGCCAGTGTCCAAAGTACCCATGGTGGACTCATCCCAAGCTATTGGTAAGGCCAGCGCTGCACCTTTCGGTAGCCCTGATGGTGGCTGCACTCAGCTTTAGTGGAACAAGATTATGTCTGTCTGTATGTATGTCTGTCTGTCTGTCTGTATGTATGTATGTATGTATGTACAGTATTAAATATTGGCAGTTGAGTAACAAGAACAGCAATTTGTGCATGTGTGCGTGCCTGCACATGCGTGCACGTGTGTGTGTGTGTGTGTGTGTGTGTGTGTGTGTGTGTGAGTGTGTGAATGATTTCTGGGTTAAACTGCAAATATTGTTAACTTAGTCCCTTGCTCTTGTACATTTCTTTCCTCATTCCCACATCTTGTTTTTCTCTGCCCTTCTCTGTCCTCTTGAAAAAAATTGCATTGGTTCTCTATTGCTCTGAATCAAGCAAAATCAACACCCCAGCTGTTTAATATCATGGCAAGTAACTAAGAATGCATCTCACTAACTAGGTCTCAGCAGCCATGCTGAGCGATTATTGTCTTGAAGGGTCTTTCCAGTTGTATGAATGAGGCTTAAATATGTTTTGGTTTTTTATCTCACTTGGCGGTTCTGGAACTGTATATAGATTAAGCTGGGTCTCCGAGCTCACTATGGAGACCAGGCTGGCATTGAACTCACAGAGATCTGCCTGCCCCTGCCTCCCAAGTGCTAGGATTAAAGGTGTATGCTGCCACATACCACTGACATTTTTATTTTTACAAAATCTTAAACCGATGCTTCAGCTCAGTTCAGTGTATGTCAATAAAATCCCGTGTGAGTCCTCCTTGCTCACAAACAGGTGGCGATCCTGTGTTGAAATCACAAGTGTACTCCAGTGTCTCCTTTGTAGTCGATGTCATTTGGGTTGTGTTTTTTTTATAGATCTCTTTATCAGATCATATTTACCCTCCCCCACAAAACTGTCTGGGGGCTGATGGTGTAGCTCAGTGGACAGAGCTTGTGTAGCTTAGACAAAGCCTTCGATTCAGTTCCCAGTAACCACATACGACCAGGTATGGAGGCGCACACTTGTAAACCCAGCATTCAAAGAGTGGAGGCAGGAGGGTCAGAAGAAGTTCAAGGTCACCCTTGCTCCTGTCAAAGACCACACTGGTCTAAGTGAACCCTGCCTCAGACAACTCTAACAGCCACAAGACCAATTTCACATTGCCTTGGAACAAAATTAAATTAGTATGTTCCTTCCCGTTGTTACCACATAACAACATACTCAGCTGTTCCCACTGTCTTTTCTCACCCAGGATTTCCGCTGAACGTCTTGTGTCTCCTGCCCCAACTGATCCAGCATTTTGAAAATCCCAATCACTTCTGTAAGGATATAGCTGAAAGGATTGCTCAGGTATGCAAGAGGATCCGTCAGGAAGCCTCCGCAACAGATGGAAATGGCTGGTTTGGAGGAGGCAGTGGTTGTCCCAAAACTTGACACCACTCATAAAGGACATCTCTGGGTGGCTGTTACAAATTGGCTCTTTAATTTTTTTTTTCATTATTGAGAATAGCAAGTGGAAGCTGGGTGGTGTGGTACAGGGCACACCTTTGATCCCAGCACTCAGGAGGCAGAGGCAGTTTGGGGCCAGCTTGGTCTACAGAGCGAGTTCCAGGACAGGAATTCCTGGGCTACACAAGAAATCCTATCTAGAAAGACAGGGAGGTAGAGAGAGAGAGAGAGAGAGAGAGAGAGAGAGAGAGAGAGAGAGAGAGAGAAAGAAAGAGAAAGAGGGAGGGAAAAAGAAGGGAAAGAGGG